ATTCTACTTTTTATTTGTTATTTTATATATTGTATATAAACTGTTATAATAAAATATAAGAATAGTATGTACAATGTAGTGCATTTACATTTTTACATGTATACAGAGTTGCCATATACAATAATTGGTATGAATGTGTAAATGTTTTTGTATGGAAATGTACACACATTTGGTTTTGTTTTTTTCTTTAAATATACACAATAAAAATGTTGTACTATGTACGAAATATATAGCGGTATATAATAAGTGTTATATACATATACAATGTGTATATGAGTATAAGGACTTATGAAGCATAAAAATAAAGGGTGTTTTTTGTTTAGTACACTCTTATATTGTGCGAATATTCAAGTACAATATTAGGGATTAAAAATACACTGAAAGACAAAAAAAATTTCGCATTTATTTATTTGGAATTTTCGAATAACTTCAATTATTTTGAAAATTATAAATATTGCAGTCAACAAATTGTGTTATACTATGTGTAACATAGTATAACATCATAATTATTTTTTGTGTAAACAGTTTTGAATATTGATATCAATTCAATATTGACGTTGTATGTTTTGCGAATTTTCGTTAACATACTTATTTCTAAAAAACGTCAAAAATTGAGAAACTAAATCAAAATTGTAAAATTTTACTTAGGGAATGTTTTGAGAAACTCTTGACATTATATTAACGACGAACTCTAGGTGTATTACGATTAGGAATACCAAACGTTTAATTTGCGCGCAAAATGAACTATATGTGACATTTTAAAGAAAATCCCGAAAGACAAAAAAGGGCGGCGCTACCTGCTTTCTTCTTCCGAAAGTGGGGGTGGGGGGGAGGTGCATAACTCCTACCCTAAAAAATCACCTTAACTCTAAACGGATAAAACTGTTCCTACAGACCAACTATTACCTCTGCGCTAACTTGCTCTTTCCGTACAGGAATTAAATACCTTGTATAAGGATATTGGTATTTCGTGTTAAATCGAAATAATTTTAGAAAAATTGGTATAAAAATTCTTTTGACCTTTCCTTTTTCATAATATTGGAGTTAAAAACTATCGGGTTCGAGTATTTGCTGCATATATGTATATATTTAATACGCAAACCATTTCGAGTTTCGATATCTAATAATCTTAGTTTTTCTAGATTTAGAATTTCAGTGAGATCTTTAGTATGTGATATTTACTCTTTATACAATAGAAAAGGATAATTCAAGTTCCTTCAAACCCTTTCAGATTATTTCGGGTTTAATTTTGTATTAAAATTTACCAACAATAGATTTTTCAATTTAATCTGATTTGTTTGTCTTGGCCGAAAACTGTTCTCTCTCTTTAAAATAAGCCTAAACCTTTTAACATTTTAAAAAAAAAATTTGCTTTACATTATTTCTGAAATTTTCTTAAAATACCAAAACCGACAATTGTTATGACGTTGTTGTGTTCACACCTTCATAATTCATACTAATAAAATTGAAAACACATTCAAAATTAAAAAGAAATTTATTTATTGACAAGTTCCGACTTACAGTGTCTTCTAAATTGAAAAGTTTTATATTTAAATAGAATTGAAATTACAAAATTTTATTGATATAGAAAATTTTATGATTTTAAATTTTTTATTTTAGAAAAAATATTTTGCATTTAAAATTTTATGTAAACACGGGAAAAAAGTTCATATACATTGAACACAAACTGTAAACAACCCAAAAAAAAATTTTTGTTTTTCATTATTATTTTCCATATAAAAATTAACATTTCCTTTACATCATGCGTAAAATTTTGCCACAATAATTTTTTTTTTGGAAACATCCGTTCTTGTTAAATCAAAACAAAAAAAAAATTTTTGATTTCAGAACACGTGATAAAATTTTTATTATTGAAACAACAAAATATTTAGAAATTTTACAATAACAATAAAAATTCAATTTATTACGAATTTTGTGCATTATTAAATAATTATTGAACACATAAAAATTATTTTTAAAATATTTTCTATTCTAGATTACAATTGTTATGCAAACAAAGCAATAAATTCAATGAAAATTAGGAAATTTCAGAAAATTAGATGGATTCCAGCTACTTAATTGAAAGAGAGTCACACTTACGAATATTTTTGAAAAATTTACAGATATTTTTCACAGTAAATAAGAAAATAGTACAAGTATCAAAGCTCTTATCTTAATTAAAATGAATGTTTCAAATACTTAACAAGGAAGTTTATAAATCAAACCTATCCCAATCCAAATTTTACTACAAGAAATAAATTGTAAACAATTGAAATATTTGAGGTCTTTTCAACTTAAATTAAACTGAAAATTTTCTTCAAAATTATGACAATTTCTTAAATGTATAATCCAGGCATTTATCTTTCACTCATATTTGATTTATACATTCAAGTACATATATAAATATTAAATTTGTAGACAGTATTAAAGACCAGCATATTTTCAAATAGTTTTCCTGTTACTAAGTATATTAAAATCCGCTGGAAGCATATTAAAAATAATTTAAAATAATAAAAGAATAAAAATAATTGTATACAGTCACTAATCAAATATAAAAATTATTATTATTATAAAATATTAAGTTTAAAGTGCATATGCTCTAAATTCATAATATGTGTAAGGGTAGGTATGTCAAATACTTACTTACACTCATTGAGTTTTGTTTACTAATAATTTAAAGTTTTTTTAGTCAAACCAGAATTTAATAACATAAATAATTATATTAAATTAAATTAAGATGCTTGAATTTGAAAAGTCAATTTGAAATGTCAAAATTATGCATATGTATACACTTAAATATTACGCCCGTACTTATTAATACAGGATGCTTTAAATCAAGAACCATACATAAATTAAACAATTCACTTTTCGAAATAAAATGCTTTCGAATTAAACTGGATACAATTTTCAAGTTCAATTAAATTTTGCTTTATAATGTAAGAAAATTATTCAAAATAATAAAATTTGGCCGAAAAAAAAAATTAAATTCGCCGAAATTTTAAAATAAAAATATTACCAACTGGTGTCTATATTGCCCTAATTCCTAAAAAAAAATACATACAGGTAATTCTCTCAGAACATTTTCAATTTGACGATCATGTAGAACACGTCAATTACAAGTGGCAATCATAATAAAGTTGTTAAAATAGTTAAAATACTTAATTCATAAAACTTAGCTAAAAAAACAACACCAAATACTTTTGAAAATATTCGAATTCCGTTTCAATTTTAGCATAACTCCTTAAAATTGAATTTAACTTCATGTGTCGATTTCACATTTTCAAATAATTAATGAGATAATGATTTCAAGTTATTGCTGACATTAAAAGTGGTTCAAATGGTGGGAACTCATTGACCTGTCCTGATTCGAAATTCTTATATGAACTTATTTTTAAAACAAACTCTTTTCTATTTATTTAATGTTCTCAAACATTTGATTACGCCTCTTATATTCAATTCTCTCTCTCTGACATTTAGAATCAAAAATCAATGCAATTTTTTAAAAACGTCACAAAATTTCAAATTATTTGAATTAAGTACATTCTATAAAATTATTTTCAATACACGAATTATATAGATAAATAATTGGTTTTAGAATAAAAATTAATATACACGTATATTAATAAAATTAAAAAAAAAAATGAGTTAAAATTTAAAATAAAGAATTAATTTTATAAAATAAAATCATTTTAATTTTTTATTAATTATTTTCGGTACACAAGTACTTATAGATTAACATTATGATATTTTTGTTTTTTATAATATATAAAAAAAAATCAGGCATATTTATTTGACACATACTGTCATTTACAGTTAATTTTCAATACACAAATAAAATCTCAATATTATAATGAGTATGGGGTGTACAATATGCGAGTGTGTACCCACATATTATTATAAATAAATATTAAAACATCTGTACATACATATATATTGGTATACATAAATATTATGTATGTAGAACAACTGTTATACGTTAACCATGTTTATACATAATTAACATTGTACATTTTTTTACCACATAGCGCAGTAAATGTATAACATTTTATGTATAGTATTTTATGTATAAATATAAGCTAAACGTGTATATTGCGAATGTATACAGAAATATATATAGGTATTATATCATGTAAATAATATATTATGTATATGTGACCCAGGGTATTGCGCATAATCCCAATAATAAAAATGATGATGGGAATAATAACAGTAAAAGAAAAACAAAATATAAAAAAAATTGGCAAAAAAAAAAGAAAATAGAAAAAAAAACAGAAAAATAAATAAAAAAAGATTGAGTAAAAAGATGTTGAACTTTGAAGGGCCTATACATACAACATTATAACAATTTGTATATATATCTACATATACATACATTATAATATATTCATAAATATTGTGTGTATACAATACATTATTGTATATACACATAAATTAGAGGTTTGTCAGCTTATTTTCAATTTAGAACAAAAATTTAAAGCACAATATACATACACACACTTTAGATTTATATATATTATGTATATGTATAATACATTTACGGTTATATGATATGTAAATATGTACTTAAAAAATTCTAAGAAAAAATTCGTAAAAAAAAGTACATATATACGATTAGACGTTCTACATACACACCATTTACACACATATATTCAAACAATATACAAAAAAGATTAAGAAAAGAAAAGAACGGTTCTTAGAATTGGGAATAATAATAGAAATAACGGTAGTAAGAAATGTATATATATAGGAATAAATAGTTTAAAAATAATTTAAATGTATAGACAAAATTTACTATTTTACCGTTATTCTTGTATTACGTTTATAATGTTAAAATAAAAAAAAAAATTTAATATTTTTATGCAAACAATTTTCATCTTAATTTTTTTGTTTAATTTTATTTTAATATTCAAGAAAAATTAAATAAATCGAATTAATTAAATTATTTAATACTTAATTAATAACCTTATTTTTTAATTAATTTTTTTTTTTGTAAAACTTACTTTAAATTAAAAATTTGTTTTCCTCCTTTATTTTTGTTATTTGCATATCCTTTTACACCTTATATTCCGTTTTTTTTTTCAAGCAAGTGAAAAAAAAAGAATCCTTTTTACGGTAAATATATGCTTATATTTTTATATGTATGTAAATAAGTGTGTATATTTATTTATTTAAACACATGCACATTATATTTTATTTTCTCTCTTTCACTTTGTTCTTTCTTAATCTTTTATTTCACTTTATTTTTTTTTAAATTCTCTTTCTCTTTAAATGTCCTCTTATTCTTTGCTTTAAAACTCTATTTTCTCTCTCTTTTTCTTTCTCTCACTATATTTTTTTATTTAATTGCTTTATATTGTATTTTATTTAAATTATTTTTATTATTTCAATTTTTTTAATATTTTAATTTCAAATAATTTTAATTTTAAGTATTTTTTCTCTTAATATTTAATAAATTAATAATTTTTTTTATATAGGGTATACAAGTATGTAATTATGAATATTTTTGTTTTCCAATTAAGAATCACTGGGAAAATTTTTGTTTTTTTTACTAAAATTATTTAAAAAATATTATATTAGAACAAGAAAACAATGCTAAAGTTTTAGAAAAAGAAAAAAAATTAGGGGAAATAAGAAAGAAAATTAAAGAATATCTAAAAAAAATTTAAAAGAAGATAAGAGAAAAAGCGATTTAAACATAAAAATATTTAAGAAACAGTGTTGATACATTGTCGTGAATAATAACCCTCCTCCCCCCCCCCCCCCAAACTGCTATTCTATATTTTGTTAATATGTATATGAATGGCGATATATTATGAAAAATCTTTTTAAACATCTGTACATAAGTATATATGTATGTGTGTATGTAAGAATGTAATACGTTAAAATTAATATTGTCAGTATATTATACAAATTGGAATTGCAGGTTTCAATTCATTTTCGTATATGTAAGTATATACTAACCGATTTATACTTTTCAACATGTTGAAAGCGTTATACTTCATTTCACTTAATCTCATTGTTATAATGAATTTTTACACATAATGTACATACATAATATTTATTCTTCTTAATAATTTATAAGAGTACGAAATGAGGGTATACTGTATAAGATCCGACATATGTAGACCAGTCAAAGCACTTTTTATTTTGATTATATACGATACTGTTGTGATTAAATATACGATACGATGCATACGATTCTTTTATATAACATTGAAAATTTTCGGAACAATTAAAAATAGTATGTAACTTGCTGCTATGCAAAAGTAATCAAAATGCCTATAACCTATAAATTAAATACAAAACAAGCCATCTATCGGAGTTAATGTGAATCAATTAATCTTGAATTTTCTTTCAAAAAGGCTGCAGTTGTTGAGAGTGTTACGCAGTGGTATAAACTCGTAATTGGAATTGCAAGCATATATGTGTATACATATTTATAACATCCTCTAAAACATACATTCATATATACATACGTCCATACATACATACATAATATTTAATATCCATACACGTGTAATTAGTTTGTATTTTTAAACAATATCCAATCTTTAAAAAAAAAAAGCAATATTTAGGAAATTCAAATTTTTTTTTTAAAATTGTATATTAAATTTTATGTATATGTACATTATTTGTAATATGTACATACATAAAAACTATGTAAATCATTAGATTATTTGCATTATATTTTACTACACAGACTGTAATGTTCGTGTAATACACACAAGAATTGATAATTTGTGGTATTTTTTTTAAATCCCTTTTTTTAACCGTGTACTTAGTATACACACATTTAGTATAATGTGACCGTTTTACTTATACACAAATTAAATGTAAATACTATATTCATACATATTATTTGTATAAATAGAAATGTGCATTCTAATTGTATTCCTTTTTATTTTATGAGCAACTTTCTTTCCTTTTTTTTCCAATATTTTCTTATTCTCTGAAATTTTAGGATCTTTTTATTTCTAAAAATTTCCTTTTTTTATTTACTCGTTCTCTCTCTCTCTCTCGTTTTCTTTCTTCTTATTTTACTCATTTTGCATATTTTTATATGTATGTATTTACTTATATGTTTTTGTAAATTTTATGCTCAAAAATGTTAGTATGCATAATATGAACTCCTTTTTATGCTTATTTAAATTTTCTTAACGCTACAAAATTTTTCATATTTCTCCTGTATTCATTTTTACAATTCACATATACATACATACTTATGCATAGCGTGTAATGCGAATTTTTTACGATATATATGCATATAGTAACATATTTTACAATATAATATAATTTATAACAAGTTATAGGCACTCTAAATACAAAAATATAAAGTAAATTTATGTATACCATGTAATACAATATTATATATACCAGCATAAATTAATGTATATATATATGTATAAATAATTCTATGCTAAATAATATATACCCATATATATATACACAAGAATTTATATTAGGGTGTTTTTTTTGAATTTCGAAAAAGAAACGAAAATATTTTGTGTTTTTCGAGCAGTTTTACTTCTTATTTTAGAAATTTTTGTTGAATATTTTAATATTATTTCTTGAAATAATATAAACAAAGTTTCGTGCTTATATCGTTAAATATATATAATTCACTTATTTAGGTCCTATTAATAGACGAAATTTCTATAATAATAAAGCGAATTGGAAATGCAAGGAAACAGCACGAAAATAATTACACCATGATAACATTACAACTTAAACCTCAACAATTTTGGACTTAATTCCTTTGGACTAAACCAACCAAATTGAGTGTAAAGAAACAATCCCCGCTTCTGATTTATTCACTTAATATACTATTACTACATACAATATGAATTTATTTAAATGGAAAAAAAATTTTAAGACCCTATAGAAAACATCACAAGTTTCCAATACCTTGAACTTAAATTAATTACTTTTTCGATTGAATTCGTTCACAAACCAAAAACAACATTTTGGTTGTAACTAAAAGTATGACAAAATAGTGTGTCTGACATTTATGTTGAATTTTGATAAGAGACCTATCTTTTTAGTATAATAATTTTTTTGGGCCCTTAATGTAGGCAATGTTTCGTGTACTCTTATAATGTTTGATATCTCTGTATTATTCAAATAAATAAAAATATTTCCACTATAATATTTCAGTATGAATTTACAGATTTTAATAAATTAAATAACATGTTTTATTAGAAACAGACTAAAAAAATTTAAATAGAAAATAATTTAAAATCAAATAAAAAATGTGGAAGTAAATATATAAATAGATTTTACACTTTTAATAATATTTAAATATACATAAATACAAAATTAATATACATATTAACATAATTTATATATGCCTATACATACATACATACATATGCATATGTTAACATGTAATTATGTTTGAATATATGTACTCATGCATAATATTTCTATGTTATTATGTACCCTAAATATTGTTGAAAATTTATCGCCCTTTTCTTCTCACAAAAAAAAATTTCTTTTTTTTATATTTCCGTCTTGTTTTTTCGTTTCGTTCTATTTGTCTGCTCTTTTCTATTCTTTATTTCTCTTATTTTTTTTATTAATATTTATGAAATATCTACTAAATATAAATTGATAATAATATTTTTTTATTAATTTTATAGTCTTATTAATTATTAAAAAAATTATATTTGTAAAATTTTTTAATTTCTCTCACAATTTCGTGTATTTGAAAACATATGGGCATAGTAAGTAAGCAGATTGCCTATATAAAAGTGAAATAAAATTTTCAAATTTTTTTTTTGTTATACTCATACCCACAAAATTTACTATTATTTTTTAATATTATAACTGTATACATACACATATGAACATTATTTGCATATTATTATTATTATTACCATTATATTATTGTAGTTTTACCGTTTTACACTTTAAAACGCACTAATAAAAATTTTATACACACTTCATATGTACCTACTTATGTACTCATAATAAATTTAGATATAAAAGATTAATTCTTGATTTTTTATACAATTTTTGAATTTTCCCACGATTACTATAAAATAAAATTTAATTGTAGTAGTATTTTTTTTTATTGTGTACTTAAATTTACTAATTTTAGTATGCAAAAATACACTTATGCTGTGTAAGAATATTTTTTTTGCAAAGTAGCTATTTTTTATATTATTTCTGAAATTGTTGATTTTTAATCCAAGAGAAATTTTTGTATAACAGTTTTTTTTTTTAATATTCAATTATTCCCTTTCACATACTTATTTGTAGGTACTTGTTAATTTTCTTAAATTTGCTTATTTCAAAGCTCTTTTTTTGGCTTATTTCTTGTACACAATGAATTTCACAATATATAATTTTTATTTAAATTTATATTTATTATTTCATTTTATTTTAAATTATTTTATTAATATTTATTATAATATTTAATCTTTTTTAATATTTAGAATCAATGAACTTTTAATATATATATATATATATATTATTAATATATATTATAATTTAGATAAAACATTATCATTATTATTTAAAATAATAATAATGAAAAAATATACACAAAATAATATAGGCAAAAAAAAAAAACAAAAACAGAAAATCAAAATTTTAATTTTCTTTCTCTTTCCTTCATCATTTCATTTATCCATTTGTATTATGTTTTTTTATGCATATTGTCGCGCATACATATTTTTTTTATTTATTTATTTTTTTTTATGTTTATAACCTTTTTTCAATTAATATACATATATTTTTACATTAATATCCACATATGTATGTATGTATATTTTCATATGTATGTACAATTAATTTTTCTTTTTACTTTTACAATCATGTAAACATATATCGTCGTATTACACATATATTACATACATATATGTATGTATATATATAGTATATTTTTTATTGATATTATGCGTGTATTACGCACATATTAACATTATTTTACACGATTATATATTTTATATATATATATTATAAATTTACAGTGTTATCACCATAAAAGCACAGTAGAATATTCAAAAAAAAAAAATGATATACAAAAAAAAATTAACAAGAAAACATACTTTTTTTCTAATACCGTTAAAAAGTATAAAGTAATTCCGTTATTAACATTCCTTAACGAAATCCATCGGATAACTGAAAATTTATCTAAAGGGAAATTCTTAAAATTCCTTTTTTTTTTCTTTTCTTTGCTATATTTTTTTTTTTTTCATGTCTGATCTTCTTTTTTTTTCTCCAGTTTTTCAACATTATTATATTAGACTGTATAACAATATATTTAATAAAATATAACATTTTATAAAACATATAGATAGCATAATTTTATATGTATGTTTGTATATTGTTATAAGTGTAAAAATGAGGGAAAGACTCACAATATGATATGAGAAAGGAGCAAAAATGAAATTTCATTGGAATCGTTCACAAGGGGTTGTTTGTGAATTGTGATTATGTTGGGTTAATAAAAATAAATAAGAAAAACAAAAAAAAAGGTCAACAAGACAAGAAAATAAGAGAAGTAAAAGAAAAAATTCCCCTTTTCAAATGTTTTCTTTTTAAGTTGTTGTTGAAAAAATCAAAAATGGGAAATTTTCTGTTTTACTTGTTCTTTTTTTTTATAGTGTTATTTTTACTTGTGCGCAATAAACTGCTTAATTTATTTTTTTGTTTTTTTTTGCTGAATTCTAATTGAGTTTTTAAGGGTTGTTTTTCGGAATAAAAAATATTAACGGTAAATATTGAATTGAATTTTTTTTTTGGGGGCTTTTGATTTAAAATTTTTGTTTTTGATTTAAAATTTTAATATTCGAAATTAATGGTTTTTTTTTTTAGTTTCTTCTCTAAAACAACAAAACAATTCTTGTAATAAAACTTTGCAAAATTTTCTAAATTGATTTTATTCAGAAAATTACAAGATTTTTGAATAACAACCCATCACGTCAAGTGATTGCGACTAACAGAATATTGGTATTTATTTTTAAAATTACCCATAGACAAGGAGTTGAAATGCATTGCATTATAGGAAATGGGTTCCAAATGGGTTAATTCTTTTGCTGTGAATAAATCTAAATTATTCAAATTAATTACAAATGTTTAATCGGCGCAAAAACCGAAAAAATTAAAACAAAAACTAGAAAATTACAAAATATTTGTATGGACCTACCTTATGTTAAATGCATTGTGACAGCTGAATCCATCTAGCTTGGATGATGTAACTTTAAATATTGTAAGAATCCACCTAGCTCGGGAATCAATGGGTGTATATGATGAAGGGAACCATCTAACTGGAATCCAGTCATTGTATTTAACAGCAAGAATCATCTATCTAGTCACACTACATATTGAATGGATTTACTTTGCTCGAATTCAATCGTTGTATTTAGTGGATGGATCCCCCCAGCTTGAATCCAATCGTTGTATGTGTATAATGGGCCCATCTAACTCGAATCTCTATATTGCAATATTAAGTTATCAATATATGAACATATACATACCTACAAAGTATAAATTGATTAATATAAAATTGCAACATTGAATTAGCAAGAAAACAAATTGTCTGTAAGCTACAAACGAGCACTAAACAAATTAATTATTACGTAAATAAGAAAATTATTTAAATTATATTATTTTAGAAAATTCTGTATTCAGGTGGGAAGTTATTTTGGCATTATTTTCGTTTTAATTTTATTGAGAACTTTAGAGGGATAGAGCGGAATATCGAATTTAGAGTGGAATATCGAACGGGCAAACATTACATAAATTTTATTATAAATTTCTAAATAATTTACGTATGTTTAATTTCTGAAAGCACATCATTCACAATTAAGCAATTACTTTCTTATTTAAAAATTCTGTTATTCTTTCAAAACGGAAGCTATAAGCAAAACAAATTTCGTTAACTTCAAAACCGTATAATATTATGGTTACATATTTTAATTTTACAATTCGAATACTGAAATCGTGTATCAAAATCGCATTGAGTTTATAAATTAAATTACAAATATTGTTAAAAAACATTCCGACTTTAAATATTTAAGTTTTGTACTTTATATATAAGAATCGATTGAAATTACTAATAAAATACTTAAAAATACTTAAACCTAAATATCTTAAACTTAAGCTAGCATAATAATTATTTTTATTTAATGAATACGAAAACAAGTCAGACAAAATAGATTTATAAACGATATTCTTATTTCCTTATATCTTAAATTTAATTTAAAAATCGTATATTATAGGGAAATTTTTGTTTCTAACTCCACATCTAAAAATACGTTCCACATTCTTCTGTATCTATAATATTAAAAGAAAACTGGTAGTATTTAATATGGTTATTTGTATTCCTACAGCATCGTTTCAGTCAGCATACAAGACTTCTAGTACATATTTAATTCTTAAATGGAAAATTAGAGTTTAAAAAAAATTTATTCTTTTCTACAAGGTTTAAAATTTTTAATAGAAAATAAAAATAATATTTTGGTACTCGTACATTCAAAAAATCAGTATACATACAACAAACTTATTCGACAATATTCCGAACAATTTTAAGCGCATGTTCGTTCTCTTGGCATGATTTCATTTTCATCTTTATCAAAATTAGAAAAGTACCATTAAAAAAAAATTGAGAATTTTCATATTTTAGCTAAAAGCTTTTATTTTTTTTTTCAATTTTAGGTACATTAACACTCCTATGTCTAAAAAAAAACATTGCAAAATTCAATGTTAGAATAAGAAAACAAAAAAAGCTGTCTAAATTATGAATACAACTTTAATTTCCAAGTTTTAACCATTTTATATGAAAAAGTAGAAACGGAAAATTTGTCTTTTTTAATTTTCTCATAAAAATAAACTTTTACATACAATCAAAACATATAAAAAAGGTAGGTATGTAGGTATATTAAAAAAAAAAAACTCTTCTCTTACTTAAATTTTGGTAGGTTTTTCCAGGGTAAATAAAATAAATAGAACAATAAAAGTAAAGGAGAAATGATAAATATACGTGGAAAATAAGATAAATGGTAAGACCAGTTTTCCATCAAAATCCATTTTTTTTGTGAATTTCTACGACCTCTTGTATTACATATAATATATAAAAATAAATAAAATTAATTATTATGATTATTTATAAGAACATAAGAAATATGCATAAATTATTATTATTTAATTTAAATATAAAATATAAAAATAATAAAATTTGTAATTTATATTCAAATTATTACAAAGCACGTTCTACGAAAAACTGTATAATCTTTTAATTTTTTTCTAAATCCAATTAGTATTATAGCTTATAGAAGAGTTTCATTGAAAAATATAACTTATAGAAGAGTTTCATTGAGAAAATACAAACTCTTTGGTAGAGCGTTATAATTTTAGATGAATTGCAATGTCCCTATACACTTCATTAATCAAAATTGAAATATTGAAATTATTATATAGAAAAATCCAAAACATCTAACTCTTATATTAAAAAACCACAATGAATTCCGAAAATTTGAATTAAATCTTAACCTATTAGAATTATATCAAATTTACTAGGAATTATGTTGGTTTATCTGACATGTTTTTTAGTACGAGCTTCTATTTATTACAATAAAAGTGTCATACAATATTATTACAAGTAGACATTATTAATGGATTGCCAATAGTAATTGTTTATAGAAATGGTGTTTATCCGATATTTGGTTAATCCGATTTAATATTACTTGTTATTTCTTTATATGAGATCGAGAAAAAGATCCGGTTTTTCAATTTTCCAAGCTCATTTTGTTTCAATTTAATTTTCCATTTTATTTCAACTTCTTACTATAATAATCATCAATTTTGTTTTATTTAACATACCAAC